AGGAAGAAAATTCATAAAGAAAAGTCAAACCTCAAAAAGAAAATGGGCAAAGGATAAAAACAGAACAAATGATATAAATAAATGATTAATACTCTTCAAATTTACTATTAAATGAAAAAATAAACATTAGATTATAGCCCACTGCCTACCACATTATACATCCTCAATAAGATGTCATTTGTTATGAACTTAAAAACAGTAAGTAACTTTTATATCTAAACAGAAAATATTTTTTAAAAGATAGCTCTCCCAGCTGGGTGTGGTGGCTCATGCCTGTAATCCCAGCACTCTGGGAGGCCGAGGTGGGCAGATCACGTGAGGTCAGCTGTTCGAGACCAGCCTGGCCAACATGGCAAAACCCCGTCTGTACTAAAAACACAAAATTAGCCGGGTGTAATAGCACATGCCTGTAGTCCCATCTACTTGGGAGGCTGAGGCAGGAGCATCACTTGAACCCAGGAGGTGGAGGTTGCAGTGAGCCGAGATTACACCACTGCACTTCAGCCTGGGCGACCAGGCGAGACTCTGTCTCAAAAAAAAAAAAGAAAAAAGAAAAAAGATAGTTCTTCCTCTTAGCAAAGATAAAATGACATAAGCCTCAGCTGGAAAGAAAGGAGTCATGTAACTTAGTAAAACTTAACACTCATCAAGAGTCATTAGCAAGTTGAGATCTTTGACCCAGAAATCCTAGAAATCCTAGAACATAGATTTCTGTATATATATGTTCAGTGCAGCACTACTTGAAAAGAAAGGCAACTACAAACAACCTAAATGTCTAACAATAATAAATATTCCATAACAGATTATAAGGTTATTAAAATGCTTTTAAAAATACTTAAGGCATTAAAATGCTTATAAGTTAATCTGAAAAAAGATTCAAAAACATATGTATATATCTGCATAAAATATATACACAAAAAATTCTATAAGAAAACATATGAAAGAATTAATAATGTTCTAACCTCAATAGCAGAATGACACATTTTTCTTTGTCCTTTCTATATTTTTCAAATTGTCTTCTATAAGCATGTGCTATTTTTATTATATGGGAAAAAGATACTGTCTCTATGAAAAGTAGGTGACAGGTGCCTGACTGTGGCACAGAATAGAATTATAAGCATAAACTGACTAAATATAATGGATCAGGATTCAAAGCTAATTATGAGGTCTAAGGTCTTTGTAACTAGAATGAGATAACATAAAACCAGGTTTGGGAATCCAGTGATTCACACTAACATATGAATGAATGACAGGCAAAACCTTCCTATATAGAAAGTATCTCTCCTATAAAAGGAAGGGGGGGAAAAGCATTTTAATGGAAAGATTTTCCCCCCAAAGAAGTTTTTGAAAGAGCGGCTAGGGGTGGGGGTGGGGGGCTTCCCTTTGGCACATTATTCTCACATATTTCTAAAAGCTTGTTAATTTCTTGGCAATAGCAGTGAGGGTTGGGGACCACACTCTTAGATGCACATACCTGTTCCACTACTTACTTGCTGCTCAACTTGGGCAAGTTACTTAACTGTTCTATGCCTTAGTATTCTTATAAAATGCAGATAACATCAATCACTTCTTTTTTTTTTTATATAAAGAACAAATGAAAATGTATGTGAAGGGCTTGGTGCAATGGCATATAGTAAACTCTCAGTAAGTGAAATATGATATGATTATTCTCTGTTATTTCATTGCCCATCAGACACAGGGGACAGACTTACAGTGGATAAATCAGAGCGAAGTACAACTGCACTTAGAAACAGACATAGTATCTTAGCAATCGACTGCTGGCTCAGTGATCACTGTGGGAAACATTAATAACATGGTTATGACTAACTAAACTAAGGTGAAAAACTTCGCTATTGCTTACCCACTTGCAAGTAACTTGCAAGTTACTTAGTTGTGATTAATACAATATCTATAAGATATTGCAATATATTTAGAAGGCCAATAATAATAAAAATTTAAAAACAAGTCCTTAAGAGAAACATTTACACACACTTTAAAGAATGTGAAATATCCCTTTGGGGAAAAAAGAGGATTTACAATCCTTTGAAGAAGCGATGAGACTATAAGTGCAGAAATGAGAACTATAGTCAAAAAGGCCCATTTTGAGGAAGGATTTATCTGTTCAGCATCTACAAATCTCTTTCTAGAAGGTGTGCTTTTATCACTCTACCTCCTGCTTGGAGCCAAGGCTTCATTTTGACAATGCAAATTCTCTAGAATAAGAGACTGAATAGTAGCAAATCAGGAAAAATCGAAGAAACAACAGCAGTGTTTTTTTTTCCAACTCACTTTTAAAACTCTGGCCCAAGCCTTCGGTTTGAACTTGAGAGTGTTTCCTTTGTCCTTTCTGACATCACTGGAGGAAGAAGGCCCTGTGCCCCTATCTCTGTGCTGAACGCCATCTTTAATGATGATATATGGGGGTCCTTTCCCCTCAGCACTGCTTGGGGGGTCAAACGTGTGGTGCTGCCCGCCTGAGAACCAACAAGCGAATTATAAACTGTGTCAATCCGAGTTAATGCAAAGCTGTAATCCTCTTTAACAAGAGATCCAATCACTGCCATGAGTTATGTTCATTCTGTAATCTGATAAGGAAGAGAGGGAACCTCTAATAAAAGAGTAATGGGAGGCTTTAATGACGCTGGTAAAAGGCAGCCCCAGTTAAAATGTTGCTCTTGTTCCTGCTGATTAGATCAATGTTGCATATTTGCCCGGGCTTGTCTCACCTGTCAGAATAACCTGTGTCTTTTTAGGAGATAAGAAGCCTCAGAGAAAACATCTGTACTTTAACCATTCTTGCTTGCAAGTTTTTAACCAACAGAAAATGCTCTATGGAGGGTATTTCAGGGGTTATTAACTGATGTGTTCTCAAATGCTGAGCAAGCTATACCAGAGTATCTCACCATGATTGGGTGCATATTCCTATTAAATACAGGTAGCGGGGAGCAAGAAATGGTTTAACTAACCTCTGGGTTACCAAATGGGGGAAAAGAATATCATCAGTAGAGTGGCAGAGTATGCCCATATTTAGGGTGCAGACCCATACACAAAAATGGCAAGCCGAAGATAAATTGCCTGTACAAATCCTATTAGACCAAGGCATCTCGAGAACAACGTGGCAGTGATGTTGACAAAGCACTTTACAAGGCTGGATTACATTTGTACATTTCTTTTCTAAAACTTCAGATGTAAAACAATAATGTATTTGGTGCCCAGTACTTATCATTAAAGGATCCTCTCCTTGCTCTTTTTTAATGCCAGCAGCTTCATAAAAGGAGTGGGAAAGGTGGTTTTTTATTTTGGGGGACAGAATAGGGAGCTAAAATTGAAACCCTTGCTGTACATATTGAGAATTTCTTTAAGTTATGTGCAAAGGAATGGAGTACCTACAAAAAGTTAATCTTGCTACCATTTTTGGAATAAGGGGGGGAATCTACTTAGAAAAATTCAATACCTACACTTTGAACAGTACCAGAGTTAAGTCTATCTAATAACCTCTCCTTGAAGCAGAATTTAATGCAAGGCAAACACCTATTTTCTTTGGCATGCATCAAGCTGACTGCCGTCACCAGACCCTTTCCATCCTGACAGCCAAAACCCATGCCAACAGAGCAGGTTCACATGGATGCCCCTTCCCAAATCTGAGTCAGTGGCCAGTTCCGAGGAACATATCTCTTCCTGTCTCAGGGGTCTCAGTCAGTATTTGTTTCTCTTGTCACACTAGCATTTTACTGACTTACATCCACACAACAAATGACAATTAACTTAGTCTGCCTCAGAGGGTCTGTCAGAAACACAGGCAAAAAGCAGATGCTTATTTCCATAACCCCAAATTCTTCACTTTGTTAGAACTATAGTGACAGATCATCTGCATTTATTTTATTTTCATTTTTGGAATGCATGTGTATTAGGCCATTCTTGCGGTGCAGTAAAGAAATACTTGAGGCTGGGTAATTTATTAAGACAGGAGGTTTAATTGGCTCACAGTTGTGCAGGTTGTACAAGAAGCATGGCACCAGGCATCTGTCCAGCTTCTGATGAGGCCTCTGGAAGCTTCTGATGAGGCCTCTGGAAGCTTACAATCACGGCAGAAGAAGAAGGGGGAGCAGACGCCTCACATGGCCAGAGCGGGAGCCAGAGAGTGGGGACAGGGGAGAAGCCACACACCGCTAAACAACCAGATCTCTCAAGAACTCACTGTTATGAGAACAGCACCAGGGGAATGGTGCTAAAACACTGATGAGAAATCCACCCCCATGATCCAGTCACCTCCCACCAGGCCCCACCTCCAACACTGGTGATGACATTTCAACATGAGATTTGGCAGGGACGCCAATCCAAACCATATCAGTAACCATATCAGTATCCAACACTGGCTTTTCTTTCTCTGTATTGATAGATAATATGTGTACATATTTATGGGGTGCAGGTGATATTTTGATATGTACATATAGCATGTTTAATGGTCACATCATTCTCCCTCTGGTCTAATGGCATGGGGTGGGTGGGATTCCACATTACTCAATGTAAGCACTGTTTCTAAAAGGTCTTTGATGAGCTTAGAATAACTTCACTAGAGAAGTAAACAACAGCCCTGCAAATCATGCAAGTTAAGTACTGACCTGCTTTTGCTGGTGATGATATGCTGAGAGGATTCTCTACCAATGAGATGTCAAGCCTTTTCTTCTCCTTAGGCCACTAATAGCTCTGGCTCTACAGAAAAAGGCGATCCTTTGCCTCTTAAAGATGAAGCTGTCGGCCAGGTGTGGTGGCTCACGCCTGTAATCCCAGGACTTTGGGAGGCCAAGGCAGGTGGATCATGAGGTCAAGAGATCCAGACCATCCTAGCCAACATGGTGAAACCCCATCTCTACTAAAAATATAAAAATTAGCTAGGCGTGGTGGCGCGTCTACTTGGGAGTCCCAGCTACTCGGGAGGCTGAGACAGGAGAATCACTTGAACCCGGGAGGCGGAGGCTGCAGTGAGCCGAGATTATGCCACTGTCTGGGTGAGAGAGCGAGACTCTGTCTCAAAAAAAAAAAAAGATGACGCTGTCCTGGGAGCTAAGCTGCCCTGTGTCAAGAGCATCAGGGGTTTAGCAAAGCCAGGGATCATTTTTAAGCTCATGTAACCACCTCCCTTGCAGGCAAACACATAATACACGGACAAATTTGGCTTTATTTTGTTTTCTCTCAATATTGGGAATGCTCATCAGGCATGCAATACAAACCACCTGTAAACCTCATAATGGAGAAGAGTAAAGATCTACTAGACCAGCACATAGAAACTATCAGGGATTGCATGAGATTTCCACCAACAAAGGAGATCCAAAGGCGTTAAATCAATATCCAGCATCTACCTAGAAGGAAATGCCCCAAAGGGAAATTTGGTAACACAGGGACACAACTTGGCTACTTTACATTTTAAAAGTTAAAAAAATAAAAAAATAAAAAAAATAGAGCGCTTGAAGAGAAAAATTCCTAGCGTGAGAAAAGAATTTGTATCAGCAGAAATTAACTAAATAGGTAACACTACTCAGATCACACAACAGGAGAACAAAATGAAGATGCCACTATCCTTTCAAAGGTAACATTTCTTTCTCCCCCAGGATACACCAACAGGATAATATCCTGTGTTAAAGATCTCTCTCTCTCTCCCTTAATGAGCTACGTTCCAGTTTCAATGTAAGTTAACCAAGGGCAAATTTACTGAGTTCAAACTGGAAAAGGGATATGGGGGGAATTCAAGGATATGCAACTGGACACACCACCCCCACCAAAACCACTGAGGATTAATCCAATTTAGGCACATGTGGAAGGATGAACTGGAACCAATGAGCAACTAAGGAAAACAAGAGGGCTTCTACTTCCAGATGTGGGTAAGCTAAGAACCACAAGTGCAGGTGCCCCTGGGAACAATAAATCAAAAGGGCAGAATATTTTGTTTCATGTATTTTACCACAATTAAAATTAGTGGAGTGTGGTGGTGTGCACCTGTTAGTCACAGCTACTCAAGAGGCTGAGGTGGGAGGATCCCTTGAGCCCAGGAACTGGAGATTGCAGGGAGCTATGATTGCACCACTGCATTCCTGCCCAGGAAAATACAGTGAGACCCTGTCTCTATTAAGAAAAAAAAAAGTAATAAATTCATTGAATGATTTTACTATGATTATCTAGTTTGGGTCATTTGGATTTTTTATTTTTCTACAAACAATACTGCAATAAAGATCCTTGACACAAATGTATTTGGCAACTATTAATGGCTATCTCCTACAAGTAGATTTTTCTGTGTTAACAGAAACATTCAAAAATCAGAAACAGGGCTGGGCATGGCAGCTCACGCCAGTAATCCCAGCACTTTGGGAGGCTGAGGCAGGTAAATCACCTGAGGTCAGGAGTTAGAGACCAGCCTGACCAATGGAAGGCTGAGGCAAGAGAATTGCTGAACCCAGGAGGCGGAGACTACAGTGAGCTGAGATTGCACCACTGCACTCTTGCCTGGGCAACAGAGCAAGACTCCATCTCAAAAAAAAAAAAAAAAAGTTGGAAACACAATGTCAAATAGTCCTCCCAAAAGATTTTGCCAATTACATTTCCAACAACAGTATGCAAAAGTGCGTTTTTCCTTCCACCATCAACGATGTGTATTACTAATCCTTTTAATATTTTCCAACTGAATAAGGACAACAAAAAGGAGGGGGGTATGCATGGTGGCACACGCCTGTAGTCCAGCTACTCGGGAGGCTGAGGCAGGAGAATCACTTGAACCCAGGAGGCAGAGGTTGCAGTGAGCCCAAATAGTGCCATGGCACTCCAGCCTGGGTGACACAGCTAAACTATGTCTCAAATAAAATAATAAAAAGAAATCTCATTATAATAATTTGCATTTCTTTGATTAGGTTGAAAGTGCTTATGGTTTTTGGCCCTTGAAATTTTTCTGTTTTGATTTTTAAGTCTGCTTGTTGACATGCTGTGTCCATTATTGTTACTGGGATATTCTTAGAGATTTGTAAAAACTCTTTTTTTTTTTTTTTTTTTTTTGAGACGGAGTCTCGCTGTGTTACCCAGGCTGGAGTACAGTGGCGCGATCTCGGCTCACTGCAAGCTCCGCCTCCCGGGTTCACGCCATTCTCCTGCCTCAGCCTCCGAGTAGCTGGGACTACAGGCGCCCGCCACCACGCCCGGCTAGTTTTTTGTATTTTTAGTAGAGACGGGGTTTCACCGTGTTAGCCAGGATGGTCTCGATCTCCTGACCTCGTGATCCACCCGCCTCGGCCTCCCAAAGTGCTGGGATTACAGGCTTGAGCCACCGCGCCCGGCTGTAAAAACTCTTTACGTAGTAGAAAAATATGTCATCCGCTGGAATTTTTTTGTTCAAGTTCATCATTTACCTATTAACTTTGTTTTTGATGTATTTTTCAATGTGACTTTTATGTAATCAGGTCTATTAATACTTTACCTTATAGCTTCTGGCCCTGTAGTCATGCTTATAAAGTCCTTCACTACCTTAAAATCATTTAAAAAAATTCTCTATGCCCCCAGCACACCAAGAGTGACATATGTATCACTTAGGAAAAGCAAAACTATTTACTTGAGGAAAAGTAGCATGCAGTGATACTGATATTCTAACAATTATGAAATTTTCCTATTTGTGGTGTACAAATGGGACACAGAATAGATTACTTCCACTTTTGTTTTTCCACTAAAGAAAAACAAAGGAGGATAAGCTATTACTGCTTCCTTCTTACTTAAAAGTTAACAATAACTACTGGCCCTAAAAATTCTGATACCAGGAGACAGAGTTAGTGCCTGTTTACTGTACCCATAGTTAATCTAGCCTATTCAAACCATAAAGCACAAGCAGTTGATATGGACACATCTCCCTATCCTTAGGAAACACAATGAGAATGGTGTGCACTTTGGTAAAAACAAATGTTCAGTCCTCCAGCTACAAGAATATTATTACATTCCTTAAGTAGCTAAACCAGCAGGAGAACAATGCTGGTAATTAGAAATCAGTCCACAAGGGATAGCCCTTTTTCCTTATAAATGTCACAAGGACTGTCACCCAGCAAACACATTCCTAACCCCTTCTCCCTTGCCTGCTCTACCTGGAGTGGCAACGTAACACAGTTCTGGCCAATGAAATACAAAAAGTTTGCTGAAGGGAATTCTGGGGAAGCTTTTACTTTTCTGATTAAAAACAAACAGGTATGGCTGGCACAGCTCTTTCCTCTTCCTCCTGCCTTGAATGCATGTTTGATGGCAATAGCCATCTTGCGACCACAGGGGAAAGACCAAGAGATGTTGGTCCTAACACCACTGAGAAGCAAAAGCTATGGTCAACAATTGCCTACCACCCCTAGAATTAACCTGTCAGAAAGATGAACTTCCATTTCCTTATGCCTCTGTAGTCAGGTTTTATATTTTTTATAGACCATACCCAAATTAATTCTCATAGAGTCATTTTCAAATAATTTTTATGTCTAGCAAATAGTAGACCTTCAAAAATTAGGAGTTAATATTGGTAAGATTCTGGAAAAGCTAAGTACCCCTCAAGGGATTCAAGTAAAATTCCAACTAAGAATGGGATAAAGTTGATTTCTGAATGATTTTATAGTACTATGATCAAAAGATGCCACTAATATCTAAATCAGGTTTCATTTTATGCCTGGGATAATAATGTAACCTTAAAGGATTTGGTTTAATTTTCAAAATCTAGTTCTGCTTTCTTCTTGATGTAATTTTTTCATGGCATCCTGACAGGGAATCTAAGATGCACTCATTTTACTCTGAAATTTTTAAACAGGCTGGATCCAGAAATGAACAAAAAACCATGGCCATATCTAGACATTCACTTGCAAAGTACAGGATAGCAGATGGGGTCACAAAGCCAGATATAAACGTACTCAGAACTATCCACAGGCTGTTTTGTGCTCAAAATGCTGAATAAACCAAATAAAAACTAGTAATAGTGTTTGTCAAAATTTGCAGATCTCATACTTTCCAGACAAGGGGTGGAAAATCTGATGGCATTTGGTAACAAAATACTCTCAAATAAAAAGGTTACATGTAGTTTGAGGGATAAAACTGGCAAAAACTACCTGTGCCTATATTATGACCAATAATTTCACTTGGTAAATATGTTAAAAAATGCCTCTCATGCATTATTTACAACAAAGACAATTAAAAGCCATTTAAATGTCCAACAATTAGTGAATGGCTAAATAAATATTATAACAATATTATTTGGTCATTTAAAAAATTTAATTATTTTAATGACATGAAAACGCTCTCAGTATATAAAATATTTCCTGAATATAATTTCAGTACTATAAAAAATAAAAACAGGAACATACTGAAAGGGAACTTATAAAAGCTGAAGTGAAATACTGTGGGATGTTAAAAGTGGCTGTCTTCTGTGTATGTGCGAGTATATACACGTACACTTCTCTCTCTCCTGACAGGCCTAGAAATAGCAACACTCACTAACAATAAGCACCCCTAGTACCTAGATACTGGTTTCTAAATACCACAATCCACTAAAAAGAACCAGGGCTCCTTCAAGACAGACTGATTTCAGGGCTGGAAGATGGAAAGTCTAAGATGAGCATTAAATATCTTATTGTGCCAGAAAGTAAGGAAGTACTCAAAGAATGACTGAAGACAACTTTGAAGGACACAAGCCAGTTTGAAGGCACTTCCACTATCTGGGACAATTTTAACATCAAAATAAATATAACTCATTGAAAACATGAGTCCATATTGATATAAATGAATAAATAAATGGTAAATAAATGAGGGAGAAGAGGAAGCTCTTCATTATAGAATGCCGATTAATAGATACAGAAGAAACTGTTATTTTAAAAAGGTTATCTCTGAATAGCAATATCATAAGCATACTTTTTTTTCTGTATTTCTCTCATTTCAGCTTTATAAAATAAGCATACATATCTTTTGTAAACACACTCACAATCCCCAACAAATACAACATATGCACATCTCCAGAGCACTCACTAGAGCCACTTTCAAAAGGAAAGCATGTGCACAACAGCCCCAAGTACAAACGGCAAGAACATGGGCCGCCTGCCCTGTCCTAGAGAGCTCAGATGTCCCAGGGAGCTGGGCTAAAGCTCACAACAAAACAGGAAAACCAAACAAACCACCAAAGGCAGCACTGATATTTATGCAAGATTTTGGTTTGGTTTCATAGTAATTATGAGGGTGAAGAGATGTGACCCCTACTATGATGCCAATGACAAATGGTTAACTGATAAGAAGAAATGGAGAGGGCGAAGGCTGTAGAGCAGGTCAATATCAGGCTGTCATGAAGCCATTTGAGACACATAATTAATCTATTACTCACCTGGCATCATCATTCATTGTAGTATGGTCAATAGGTGCCATGAAACTCAGTAGCTTGCTAAGGACATGAAACCTAAATAAAGCAGGAAGCAAACAGGCAGCAACATTAGTAACTGTTAACCTAGGAGAGGAAACACATTCCATGAGTTAACAAACTCCAGAACCGATCACTGGAACATCTGGCTACAAAGTGGGATAGGGAAAAATTCATAGGCCCTTACCACTGTCGCTGGGATGACCAACTACAGTCATCCTACGGGATCTGTGGGGGAATGGTTCCAGGGCTCCTCATGGATAAAAAAAATCCACGGATGCTCAAGTTCCTTATATAAAATGGCACAGTATTTGCATGTAATCTACACATACGCTCCCACATACTTAACTCATCTCTAGATTACTTAAAATACCTAATGCAGTGTAAATACTATGTAAGCAGTTGTTACAATATATTGTTTAGGGAATAATGACAAGAAAAAAAGTCTGCACTTGTTCACAGGTATAGACACAACGATCCTTTCCCCAGGCGTGAATATTTTCAATCCTTGGTTGGTTGAATCCGCAGATGTGGAACTCACAAGTATGTAGGGCTGAATGTACATTTTTCCCTTTTTCATTAATGCTACAGGAGAAAAGTCTGATAACAGCATATTGTAAATGACAGTTCAACACAAATTCATTTATAGCACAGCCTCAAAAAAGAATAGGTACACTTGTGCTTTTGAGCAATATACAACCCTTAAACATTATTCCAGACTAAAGACAATGAGGAATTGACTACTTCATTTTCTTCCTCTACATGTATCTTAAGCATTTTTCATTTTAATAGATGTCATAAAAGTCATCTACCAGTAGCAGCAAAGGTAGTGGTATAGCATCTGAATGCAACACCTCATCAACACCATCCACACTGCCACTGGTTCCCCAAGTCAGAAAAGGGATCTGTAATTCCACGTCATCTCCATGCACTAGATCCAGGGGGTCTTTCATTTCCCCCACCTTTAAATGGAGAAACACAACTGAAGTCACAGTAAGTTTGATTCCTAGGTCTTCAGTCTAGGTACTATGGAAGTTACATCACCTACATTTCCCACCAACTGCAAAAAAAAAATATTTTGTATGATGTGTTTGAGATTCTCTAGAAAATACATGACCTTATACAGTCCAAATCATGCCAAAGATAACTCAAAAGGGTATCCTTTTCTTCTCATTATAATGTGCCCTCTCTATATACATAAAATAAAATTCTAACCCAAAAAACTCTACTAGGGCAAAACACTATCCATAAACATAATGTGGTATTTTCATGTATTCAATACATAATATTTTAAAGTTTTAGGAACACTTCTATACTTCTATCAAATAATTTAATTATTTATTATATCACCCACAGCTCAGCCTCCCAAAGGTAATTCTTTATTTCAACAAACGAATTTTACAAGAATAATACTGATAAGATTTTCCCTCTTATACAAGTAATAGTGGCAGGGTGCGGTGGCTCATGCCTGTAATCCCAGCACTTTGGGAGGCTGAGGCAGAAGGATTGCTTGAAGCTAGGAGTTCAAAACCCGCCTGGACAACATAGTAAGACCCTGTCTGTACTCCCACATCAACAGAAAAAAAGTAATACAAAAGGTATAAAATACATTAAAAAAAAAAAAAATCCCACACAGAAAACACATACAGTTGGCTTGGCACAGTGGCTCATGCCTATAACCTGAGCACTTTGAGAGGCCAGGCAGAAGATCGCCTGAGCCCAGGAGTTCAAGACCAGCCTGGGCAACATAGCACCACCCTGTCTCTACAAAAAGTAAAAAAAACTAGCCAGGCACGGTGACTCACGCCTGTAATCCTAGTACTTTGGGAGGCCGGGGTGGGTCAGATCACCTGAGGTCAGGGTTCAAGACCGGCCTGGCCAACATGTTGAAACCCCATCTCTACTAAAAATACAAAAATTAGCTGGGTGTGGTGGCACACGCCTGTAATCCCAGTAAATAGGGAGGTTGAGGCAGCAGAATCTCTTGAACCCGGGAGATGGAGGTTGCAGAGAACCGAGATCACGCCACTGCACTCCAGCCTGGGTGACAGAGAGAGATTTTGTTTCAAAAATAAAACAAACAAACAAAAACCAAGAAGTAAAAAAACTGGCTTGGTGCAGTGGCTCATGCCTATAATCCCAACACTTTAGGAACCTGAAGCAGGTGGATCACCTGAGGTCAGGAGTTTAAGACCAGCCTGGCCAACATAGCAAAATCCTATCTCTACTAAGAATACAAAAATTAGCCGGGCGTGGTGGTGCGCGCCTGTAATCCCAGCTACTCGGGAGGCTGAGGGAGGAGAATCGCTTGAACCCAGGAGGTGGAGGTTGCAATGAGCCGAGATCAGGCCGCTGTACTCCAGCCCGGGCGACAGAGCACAACTCTGTCTCAAAAAAATAAATAAGTAAAATTAAAAAGTAAGAAAACTAGCCAGGCATGGTGGCATGTGCCTGTAGTCCCAACTACTCGGGAGGCTGAGGTGGAAGGATTGCTTAAGCCTAGGAGGTTGAGACTGCAGTGAGCCCTCAGGTCTGGGTTTTGTAGCTCAGGCTGGAGTGCAGTGGTGTGATCACGGCTCACTACAGAGTATAAGCTTATCTAAAAAACAAAAACAAATCCCACACAAAATCCTTCTACCTATAGACAGTTGTTGTTATGTTTGTTTCACACAATGATCCTTTTACATATATATTCATATAATTTTGAATGAATTCTTTTCTCACCTAGCCTTATAAGCAATGTCCCATAAACAATTTATAAATGGCTGCATATAACGGTAGGAACAGAAGTACCATATTTTCATATTTTTGAACATATACATTGCTTCTAATTCTTCACTTCTTTTTGTTGTTGTCGTTGAGACAGGGTCTCAGTCACCCAGGCTGGAATGCAGTGGTGCTGTCTTGGCTCACTGCAACGTCTGACTCGCAGGCTCAAGCCATCCTCCCACCTCAGCCTCCTGAGTGGCTGGAACTATAGGAGTGTACCACCATGCCCAGCTAATATGCGTATTTTCAGTAGAGATGGGGTTTCACCATGTTGCCCAGGCTGGTCTCAAACTCTTGGACTCAAGTGATCCACCTGCATTGGCCTCCAAAAGTGCTGGGATTACAGGCGTGAGCCACCACGCCCAGTCTAATTATTCACTTTTTATAAAATGAAAAAAGACCTCTGTCTTTTGTTGGTGATGTTTTGTTTTGTTTTTTGAGATAGGGTGTTGCTTTGTTGCTCAGGCTGGAGTGCAGTGGTGCGATCACGGCCCACTATAGCCTTGACCTCCCGGGCTCAAGCCATCCCCCAACCTCTGCCTCCCAGCCCCCACCACCACCAAGGAGCTGGGACTAGAAGTGTGTGCCACCACGCCTGGCTAATTTTTAATTTTTTTTTTTTTTTTTTTGTAGAGAGAGGGTCTTGCTATGTTATCCAGGCTGGTCTCAAATTCCTAAGCTCAAGTGATCCTCCCACCTCAGCCTCCCAAAGTGCTGGAATTACAAGCATGAGCCACTGAGCCTGGCTAATACATAACCCTGAGATGTGAAATTGCTGAGTTGAAAGGTATGCACATGTAAACCTGACTGAGTCAAAATGCCCTCCCAAAAGTTGTGTCAATGTATGAGCATAAATATTTATATAACTTTTTATTTAAATATAAAGCAAAAATACTGTTAATTAAATATATCTTTTAATGTCCTTAGGCCTCACTAAACTTCAGTGTCCATCTGAAAGTATGATTACTATTCTTGGCTGTGTCCACAGATGGGTTTAATTCACTTTCTAGACAAAGACTATGAACTATACCCTACAGTTGTGTTATGCAATGCAGTAGCTACTAGCCACACATGGCTACTATGCATTTGAAGTGGGGCTAGTCTGAATTGAGATGTACTGTAATTAAGTATAAGATACAAACCAGATTTTGAAGACTTGGGACAAAAAAACAATATATGTCATCAATAATTCTTAAAATAATAAATTTTTGAAATAATATTTTTATATATTGGTAAATGAAATTTGTTATTAAAATCAAGTTCATCTTTTACTTTTTACTTTTTCAATGTGGCTACTAGAACATTTAAAATTGCATGTATAATATTAAATAATAAAAATACATATTAATATTTTTATTAGATGGCACTGCGCTGTAGAATATCTTTACATTTAATACAATACAGTTAATAACTATTAACTACATGATGAAATATAGGCTTTAGGAAGAAATCAGATTAAAGACCATTTAGTAATCTGTACTTAGCATAACGTATTCATCTAATCTCAATACTACTGAAAACGGGTGTATGTTTTAATATTAAATCACCTTTTCCCAACCATACTAAGAAAAGATAAATATTATTTTGTTGTGGAAGAACAGACCAACACAGTAAGACATCATATTATTAAAGGCTCGGGAGTTTGATCAACTTACATTATGATTTCTGATTAAATCATAACTAAATCCACTTATATGTAATGCTGACTAGAATACTGATAATCAATAATTATAATTACTGTATTTCCAAAAACCAAAATTTTTTTTTTAAAAACATTATTTTCTAGCATCCAATTAGCAAGTCTGATCAGGCTGTATCATTTGAACTAAAGAAGTGTTATTATTTAAACTGTTTCTAGAAGGTAATGTTAATCTTTGCTACATTTCTAGAAGTCTTACATGTACAACCCTATCACAAACAAGGAGCAAAAACTGCTCAGTGTTGGGCCCTAGTATCAGTGATGACAGATGGCATACACTGTCTGTTCTTGAAGTCTAACTCTAGAAAGTTGTTTATAATATTCTCATCTAGCCTGGGAGGGCCACTTGGTTTAACACCTTAGGAAAGGATGCTAAGGTAGCCAAGGCATCATTCTGGTGCCTGTATAGAGTTGGTCTTGCCAGTGAAACAACTCAATATCCAGAGATTAGAAGAGCAGGCTCTGGAATCAGACCAATTAGTTCAAATCCCAGTTTGCTACTTACTAACTATGTAATGCTGGCAATGTTACTTCACATGAATTAGCTCATTTAATCTGCATAACAACCCTA